CCTGGTCCGCGTGGAATTTTTTCTAGTTATATTTTCTTTAGATTTAAACATCAAGCAGTTACATGCTTTAAAAATAATAAAAATTATAACAATAAAGGTTATTATTATTATTATCATATAATTGGCTGGTGATGAGGGGTTGTTGTGGTCTCCTGTTACTTAAAACGGCAGTAGAAACAATAAGGAAACGGGGGCCTAATTTTGTAAAGTCTACTACATACTTACATAATCCCGTAACAGCTTAAGTCATATTGCCATTTTATTTAGCTTTGAAGGAGATCGTGAATATCACAGTGATGAAGAGCTCTATGTCACTAGCGCATTCGGACTGCGAGCAACTTTTTCCTATTGCCACTCATATATCGAGCTTTTTGGTAATCGCATAGCTGTCAGGTCCTAACTACGTCTGCTGTAGTACCCACCAATCCGTATTAGCCTGCGTGGTGGGTTAATGGCGCATATTCCCTCTACCATAACGTAATTTCCATCCATAGGTTAGGCCTATGTTCAGCTGTTAGACATTAACAGCTTACTTTCCATAGTCCCAGCCACAACCTTTGCGTCATTGAACCGTTCGCCGTATTTCACACATATTAAAATAAACTAACAACCATTACTGTTAAGTGTGATCATCCCACAAATAAATTCCCCTGCCTACCGGTAATCGGACCTAGGATATTTAAAGCAGAAGACAGAGGCCCAATCACGAAATTTGATAGCTTTATAATCATCTAACCATCGTACGTTAGAATAAAGTGGCTCCTTCCTATGCTCCTTCCGTACACGATGACGATTCGATTACGGATCTGGTGAGCCACCTGGAGCACTGCTATTGTAACTTCCAACTGCTATAGTCATAATACACATAGCGTAAGTCTAACAGAATAACACAACTCCCATGGTAAATTATGAGTAAAAGTAGGCGATTTCAATTGATAACCTTACTAATTGACGACCTCCGTGGCCGAGTGATTTGTACGCCGGGTTTCATGGTGTCGCCGACAGGTCCCGGGTTGGAATCCTGGTGGGAGCAGATGTTTGTGTGATGAATACGTGCATTTGTACTCCAGTAATGGATGTTTAATATATATTTCTATATAAATATACTTATTTATGTACAGTATATGTATTCCATCCATTACCCTAGAATCCCATAACACAAGCCTTATAGTGCTTACTTTGGGGCTAATTGGTGTGTGTGTTGGAAATATTTATTTATTTATTTAATTAAAAACGGGGGGGAGGGGGGTAATACTAAACATTAAGGGGCTATAAGTAAACATTTTATATTGGCGTGTAAATTTTGTAGAAAAAAAGCTCAGTTGACGGCGATTAGCACTAGCAACTTTGAATACGAATACGATGAAAATTTATCTATAAATGCGTACAAACTTAACCCAATCCCGTACCCTTTTACCCTGGAACCCACCACCTTTTTTGGTGGTGTTGTGTTACTGTCGATCAGTAACCAACACCACCAAGAGTGTAATTTACTTTGGTCTTCTGCAATGTAATCTTGTCTTACTTTTCTCGGTAGGCGAGGAAGTTTTCATATCTGCTCTAGACATGAAAAATAACACAAAGTACTGGTTATGGCACAGTGTGTCTGTGGCATGGTGGTGTGTCGGTAGTAAGTTAGTGATAACATGTTAAAACTAGGCTATTTATAGCTTTAACGATAAAAGTAGCTTAGTGTCATAAAATACTTAAGGTCCACTTGCAGCAATTTTGATGCATCTCGATCCAACTAAAACTAGCTATATTCCATAGAAATATGTCAAAACATCAATCTCTATTTGACATTATTGTATGGGCTAAATCTAGTATTAGTTAAATTGAGATTTGGAAAAATGACTGTAAGTAGACCGTAGAGTTGTATAGCACAGTTTTCATGTTCTCTTTTATCACCCTAAGCTTACGTGGATCTTTTAAAACAGATTTCATACAGCTCAGGCTGTTATAATAACACAAAATTCTTTCTTATAAAGATAACAACATCTTTTAACACTCTTTAACGTCTATAAAAGAACTTTAAGTTCTAAATGAGCTAATTAATTGTTGTTGAAAACGCCTGCGTGCTGCTGGGGTGGTTATGCCACAGAGTGGCTGTGGCATGGTGGTTGGTGCTCGTTGCATTGACCAGGAGGAAGAGGGACGTTGGACTAGGTTGAATTTTATCAACTAAAATTTTTATTTACATGTAAAAAGCATATTATTAATGTGATGAAAGTAGACATGAACACATGTTTAATTTATTATGTACATTTAACTAAAGAACAAATAGTAAGATATTTATAACTAAAAACATTAAAAAAAATATAATAACTAAAATACATTTTAAAGTGAATCCCTTTAGGCAAGGTTTCGAAGATACTGGCAGCGTTCCCCTTTGAATAGCTTGACTAATTCTTTGTCCGAGGTAGCTGCCAGCTTTTCGGTCTCCTGTGATGTCGACTAACCTTTTGCTATTTCCTTAACATCATATTACAATTTAAAGAAACATTGCTGTCGATTCTAGTAATAATTCTTTAAACTAAAAAAATAATTTGTCAACAGTCCTTGTCATTATCTATGGGTACAACATAATGAAATGTAGAGACGATCTTAAAATAAGTTTTAAGAGAAACCTAAAGACTAAATGTCTTTAAGGGATTTAAAACAGTGTATAATTATTATTATATTTTTTTAGTTTTAAGTTTAGAGAATTATGCCAGAATCGACACCATTGTATGCACAAACATAAAATTTTTAAGAAGGTCCAATGGGCCATATAATTGAGGTCCATGGGCACTTTATGGGCACGAATCTTGCCAACACGTACTAGACCAAACAGATGAATTTGAATATTTTATTGCTGAGTAGCAGTGACTATAATAAGACGCCATTGTGTCGCGCAGCACGCAAGCTTCGATACACTTATGGTCATGTGCAAACGTTATGTCTCTTGGAAATGTTTAATATGCCATTCCACTAGCTAGACTTTTTTCTTTAAAAATTATCATACTAATATTATTATGTGAAAGTTTGTATGTTTGTTACACAATCACACAAAAACTACTAAATGGATGTGGATGAAATTTGGAACGCATATATTTTGTGGCCTGGATTGAGACAGGATACTTTTTATCCCGGAAAAAAATTAGGTTCCTGGTGGGCTTCTTAAAAACAAAGTTAACGTAAATGTCTAAGCATGTATTTTGACAGCTCCGTAATCGTATTGTTATCGTCAAAATTTGTATGGAAATAGCTAGTTTGTTCTTACGTCCACTTAGTTTCATAGGAACTTTGATGAGCTGTCAAATTCGTGCTTGGACCTCAGTAGTGAATCGAGTGCTACATTTAGTTAGAGTGAAATAGTAACAATGGTCCTGCAGTAAGTACTTATTTTTCGAAAAGAACAATATTCGCGTTTTACCTCAATTTGTCTATACCGCTAGAAAATCTTGTATGATAATCAAGTTCACAATAACAAATTTTGAAGGCGAAAAAGATTAGTTTCTCGTCTTATTGAGGAAAAAAGATAGAATAGAAAAAATAACCAATAACCTTGGCATTTATAGTACTAGGTGTATTCTCCTCCTGTCTGATTGTCTTTTTAGCCACAGAATTTATTCTGCTTTTTATGATTCCAAACCTTAGCCGCTGAACCCAATTTGTTGAACGTTGGTATGGAAATCGAGGAATTTCAATATCAAATATTTTTTATGCATTCATGTAGTGACAAAGATGGTTAAATACATGTTTTACTCGCAAAGTACCTTACATGAACCAGGTCAGGGTATCGCAATACTTGGTGTTGGTGATTTCTCGAGAAGGACTTATTTTAAAAGTATTAATGATACTTTAAGGGATTCCAGTTAAGTGACTTAAGCATGTCGCGAGCACCACTTCATAAGTAGTTAAATTTTACTACAATAATTGTAACTACAAATTTAAATACAAATCTTTATAACACAAGGCCATAGCTATAACGTTGTAAGTGTTGTATTTTTGTTGAAGAACTTAGTTTTTTGTTGAAAACCTTACTTTCTTAAACTCCACGGGGTAGATAATGTGTCATACTAGGTGACGTAGTGTACCTTTGTAACGTGAGCATCTTTAAGCTGTGATAGTCACTTACTATCAGGTGGATGATAAACGTCATTTAAATTCTTTTTACAGCAAAATAGATTTCTAAAATATCAGGGATCAGGCACCAATTAAGGGTGTCGGACTGTTGTCTCCCCTGACGGTCCCCCAAGGGGAGACATCAGGATTTCTAAACCACTGATTAAATTGAAACGCTGTTCAAACCCTTGGCCACAAAACCCGAATATTATTCGATCTGTTTTTATAAAAAATCAATAAAAGAAGATATTTCTTTTAGCCATTTTCATTACCAGAATCTCTTAGTAATGTTATCCTGGTACTTTTGTCTAAATAATCTTATATATAAAATTCTCGTGTCACAATGTTAGTTACCATACTCCTCCGAAACGGCTTGACCGTTTTTTATGAAATTTTATATGCATAGTCATTAGGTCTGAGATTGGGCTATTATCTATTTTTTATACCCCTAAGTGATAGGGTGACCCCCCCTGAGTGGGTTGTCCACCCTAACATATTTTTTTGGCATTTTTTTTATAATGTGGCATTAAAAATATACAACCCTAAATTTTCACCCTTCTACCACCAGCCCCTATTTTTATGGCGGTACGAACTTCGTACCGCCGTATAGTGATTTTGTAAATGTTTATGGTTTTAATGTAAGGTTACTGCTTCACAAGGGGATATACGGGTACTCAATATAACACTTTTAAGAGTAAGTCCTGATGTCGCGTATTCAGTCTCCCCTAGGGGGGCCGCCAGCGAAGACAACAGTCCGACATCGAATAAATTAATAAATAATATCTGTCAAATACAGCGCCAATGGAATCGTACCTTTTTACGTTCGAATTCAAAGTAGTAGCGGATAATATGCATGATAGACATTATCTGCGTCTTAATTTATCTAAGAGTTTCGCTCACGCTATCAGTAACCCGAGATACGATGATGTCGATAAAATTGATGCTGTGCCGCGGTCCAGACTTACTTGTGAAGTCGATCGCATCACGGACGTTTGGAAGAAGCGATCAACATGAAGAGTAAGTACCCTAATAACTTACCTATTGTTTTTATCTGAAAGTTGAAATTTGTTGAGATAATACCTCTTTAGCAAGCCGCCAATTAGTTCAATGAAAATACCGTTGGAAAGTTTGCTCGTTTGCGTCAAATCCGGTAGTTCTGAATTTTAGCAGACCAGTTTATGGTATTGGCCCAATGAATAATCCAAGTTTGTGATCTCGGGCACTAAACGTAAAAATTGATAAATGCGCGAAAAATTCGTCTTATTCAGATTTTGGTGATAATAACCCTAAAGGACTGGTTTTTGATAGAACCATTTGAGACGTTTTTAAAGTATACTAAATTTGCTACAATATGAGACTTGAATTATCTCTGTAGACCAAATAGTTTTCCAATAGTCTTTTAAAATTAAGGTTCAGTAAAGGATATTGTAAAATTTTGTATGAGCGACTAGCCCTAGCAATGTATAAATATTGTACTTAGTCATATATAATGCAGAATGGCTGAATATTTATAATTTCTATGAAAAAGGGCTCAGGAACTTTTGATAAAGTATTAATATTAAAAATTATGAGACCTCCTACGACGTCATTACCTTGCTATATTTGATAAAAGATGATGCCAATTATTTACAGTCATCAATTTCCCACTTTCTTAGAATATTTCCTCCTATTTATCTGATTAAAACTACACAAAAAGTATTTTTAAAAGTAAAAATAAATACAAATAATTTGTTGTCGTCGGCCTGACATGAAAGCTGTGAAGTTTTATTTTGTTCATTTTCAAAAATCAAAGCATTAATTATCATACAGCCTTCTCTTAAGCCTGATCAGAAAAGTAAAATGTATTATTTTAGGCCTTCAGTGATTTGTTATAATAAAAATAAGGGTCATAGTTTTTGGGAGTTTTGAAATTAATATTGTTTATTTCGATATACTGACAGAAATGTTTTTAGTATACATTTATTGTTCATTTATTTTTGCAGACATTTCGGAAACTATTTGGGTCTACAGAGACAATTCCAGTCTCATATTGTAACAAATTTAGTATACTTTAAAAACGTCCCAAGAATATACCATCAAAATCCAGTCCTTAGTAATGTCTGATTTTAAGTCTTAAAATTAATATAAAAGTAATTACATTGTTTTGTTTAATAAGAAAAGAACTGATAATTTCAGTTTTCAAAGTTATACAGAACATGTTGTGATTGTACTGAGTTCCTTAGTTAAGACCAATAGAGTTCCTTGAAACTAAATTGTATACAATTAATATTTAACACGTTTAATAAATAAGGAAAATGATTAAATAAGTAAAAAACTGTAAATTGATTGTTATCTTAGAATATTTTCATTATAATTTCACAATAAATATAATCAGAGAATATAAGGTAGATTACAAAGATTAACATCGATGATATAAATCTAGGTTAAGTTTAATAGCAAGTTTAATAATAGTAAAATACAACAATTTACTTTTATTTTAACTTATTTCTAGCTAAATTTAGGGCGATTTACTGTAAAATAAAGCTAATTTTTATATGGGCTTTAATTTACTACCGTAGTATAATAAGGCCCCTGAGAAGGATTATTAAAAAGTGTATTTTCTTATTAAACAATAAGCTTTTCTTAATTGTTTTACACCTTTTATTACAGCAACATGTACAAGCTATGTAAACAATATGTTATTGACATCCTATACGCATTATACTCAGATTTAGAGCAATATTTTTTTAGGTGTTCCTTAATTGCAACCTTATAGGATAATAATCGCCAAAATCAGAAAAACTCCAAATTTTCGTGCTTTTGTCGAATTTTGGCATACTTGCGTTCGGTGCCTTTTTTGTGAACTTGATCACAAACTTGGATTATTCAATTTATTCATTAGGCCATCATCATAAACACGTCTGCAAACAAATAGAACTACTGGATTCAACGCATACTTAGTCTGAAGTAATAATTTTACTTCATAAATTTTTCTGAACTGAGTTATTTTTCAAATTACAATGCAGCCTAGTGTCTTTGGTTATTTAGCTAGTTACTAACATAAAAAAGTAAATTTTGTTATGTAACATTGATTTTTAGAATAGTTAAATACAGTTAATATACAACGCCCTTTCTGCGTTATTTCCAATATTATTAAGTAAATTGTCGTGCCTATAAATTAAAGATAGTTTGCAGTCGTTTTGAAAATTTTAATACCTTCTAAACGACTGGATTTTACGTACACTACAGATTCAGCAATAGACGAAAGTTAGGACATTGGTCAAGTCTGATATTGGCCAAATATAAATAAGACAAATTAATATTTTTTTAAATCCTCATAGAGTCCAAAGCATACTATCATATTATGTCGTATATCTTTTATCGTCATTTTATTTTATTTCATTTCATTACTAGTAAAAGTCAATCCTACTAATAATAAAAAATTGAATGTTTGCATGTTTGTGACTCAATCACACAGAAACAGCAAAACGGATTTGGATAAAATTTTACACACAGACAGCATATACCCTGAAAAGAGACATGGGATACTTTTCATCTCAGATTATTGTTAGATTCCTGGAGAATTTTCAAAAAACTTAGGTTTACGCGGACGAAATTGCGGGCGGTATTAAAACAAATTATATACTGATAGCTCGATTTCTATCCTTTGTTTACCGTCTCAAGATTCCCAGACAAGATGATAATGAATTTGCAGTCAAATTCTCAAGGGTTAATAACAAGTTCAGAAGTCCTGCAATTGCTCAAGTTTGGTAGTTTAGATCTGCTATTACTGAGTGTAAATGACAGTCGAACGTTTCTTAGGCCCGTATTATAGAAAGATTCTCAGTGATTGATCTAGTCTTGAGCATAGTTAGAAAGGGATGTCGCTATATATAGCACATAGCGACATCCCTTTCTAACTGTACTCAAGTAAAGATCAACACTTAGTTGTCATTCTGTAATACGGGCCTTAGTGTCTGCTACTTATGATACTTGCGTAGTAGCAGCGGAAAGGGCATCGTAGTCGACGACTTGCTAATTAAGATGGTTTGTTAACAAGGTATTTAATTAATTTATGTGGTTCCGTGCCACTAAAAAAAAACTAATTGAGCCCAAAAAAGAAACTCGGATTTCACGTATCCTGGTGCAGAGCAACAAAAAGTTGGCGATTCTTTTTACATGGAGCCGATACGTCTAAATATTTGTGTATTCTGTCGCTATTGCCTGCTGCAAAATTAAAAAAATAATAAAATTCAAAGGCTGTTTTTTTTAACCTAAAGCAACGCTATTTTATTTAAAGTGTTGATAACTGTCGTGCGATGGTAAAGACCCCTTCCTGTTCATTTCCGTCTTGAATTGGTTAGTTCCTTAATAAAGAGTAATACCAACATTACAATGCAATGATAATATAAAAAAAAACCAAAATCTTTTTTTCTTTCAATGATCTTCATTTGTCTATTAACTGAAGTTCGTGTACATTTTCATAATGATTTAATTTATAAATAACATTCCAGGTCGTTTGAAGATCGCATATTATTTTGAAAGCCGCGCCATGTTATAAATATAGAAATTCAATCGTTAATATGGAATTTTAACAAAATTATTCTACTGTTAATAATTTTCGATATTTAATTGCCCATCCGATTTTAGTGTGTATTTACAATACCTACGTGGGAATGACAGCAGTTGCCATAATTATGGCATGGTAATCTTTACTTTCAGTCATTAATTTTATTATTTTATATGCATAGCGTACACGAAAAGATAATCACCACATAAGAAATAGTCGAAAGCTATTTTAAAGTGGAACACAACAAAAAGCTATTCATTTTCAAGAGTAGGAAAGTACAAAAATCTGTTTAAATAATATAAATTAGGCAGATCCTAATATACATTTCAACATTTTCGAACCGACGAAAGCATCTATAGTGTAAACGTGACTTTATATAACTAAGAATACCTTATTCTGTAACTTGCTGAAGTTCACTGCTTGACCTGAAATAACTTGGATTACTATTCAACTTATTGTAAGAACCATTCATTTCAAATAATCAAGTTCCTCCTCTGTCATTTGCAGTCGAGCTATAAATAAGTTGGGTTGGAGTTTTGTAATTAATCAACATTAGGTACTTAATTATTTTGTAAGAAAATTTCAAAGGTATAAATTTTATTGTTTTAAATTGAAAACGCTGAGTTTTGTCCAAGTTAATAAGGCGGATAATTTCTAAAGACTTTAATAATAACGAAATTTCTGCTAGGACAGATGTACAAACCTGGGAAAGTAGGTATCATCAATAAAGTCATCGCTTGATCAGTTTCAAATGTTTTAGCTTGGACTTCCTTTTCTTACTAATTGGGACAATACGTAAAGGGATACTTGCTTCTATTATTAATTTTTGTGCAATGGGTTGTGATTTGTGAACAAGAACAAAGGGGCAGGGTGAACCCTTGTTCAAGGAATCGGTCGTAGAAAGAAAAATCGTCTAATTAGTGGTCCAACCATGACTTTGTTGACTATACCTATTCTCTCTCGCAACTTGCAGCCAAATTGAGGTAGAGGTTACTTTTCCAGTCAATAGTAAAGGGAATAGTGTGGTCGAAAACCTAATATAGTAAAATACTATTTCCTAAGTCGCTTACATTTGGTCAACCAACGCGATATTGCAGTGCCCGGTAGATTTTTTTGGCGTTTAACAGAATATGAACATGAACCAAAAGCTGCTCGGTTTTCTAAAAACTTTGCGAGATTCTCCGATATTCGAATTTTAGCAATAGTTTGCTATTCTGCGTCGATTAGGTACATACCTTTGATATTTGAGTCTGACACAAGGATTTATGGTCTTGTACAAATTTAAGTTCGCCGAGTTTTGTTTAACTAAAATATTTTGTATGATTTTTGCTGAGACGAAATAAATTATATCTCTGATGATAACAAATGATGCTTGTTATCATTGTCATCTTGCAATTGATATTAATGTTACAAATGACAACCTTGTGAGGCTTATCGTTGGTACATATCTTTCATAACAATCGAAACGTCCAGAGTTTTTTTAAGTTTTCTGTGCAAGTGATCGTTATTTGCATTTACTACTTACATAATAATATTATCTATTGTTACTTAAGTAATTAAAACGTAAAACATTATGATTGAGAACATATTCAATAATAACAGATACTTATATTAATATGTAGGATTGTAGTTATTTTAAGCAAGTATACTGTATGTTTTCTTAAAACATTGATAAAAATGTCCTACCTCGGTTCGGCATCGAACTTGGGCCATCCGCGTAGCAGGCGAGCTTTCTATCACTGAACCACCGAAGCTTCTCAATGAGGCCTGTTTTTCTTTTTATAACAATAAAAAATTTAATGCGACGTGCTTGAGATGTAAGAAAAAAATTGCAGCGATGTTACAAAGCTTTCACTTGAATAAATATTTGCATCATTTATAGACAGGTAGACTTAAATAGGCTTACCGCTCGAAATGGTGGCGAAATTAAACCAGGACAAGCAAAGCAATAATCACAATTCTTCAGTAGGTAGGCAAAGCGTCAATAGAATATGGTGACCATTGTTCACATAATGTGTCCTATATTACATACTATGCTTGTTTGCTTACCTTGTTAACTTCATCACCCTTTTAACTTGCGAAAATTAACAAGCTGGGGCCTATCCCATCAACAACGACTAGATTGATGACTTCTACAGTATCGCCAAAAAGCGAACAGTCTCAATGTTGCGCAGAATAAAGCTCATACAGCATCTGCATCCTGTTGGCTTTAAAGAATAGCGAGATAGATTCATTATTTCGTGACTTCGATCAGTTGCATATGAATGGAACTACAAATACATATGACAAATAAAAAGGCTTTATATATTGTTTTATATTTTAAATTCATTTAAAAAATATATTACTCTGGCTACGGCCCTAATTCTTTTAACGTGCTTGATCTTTAGCTACTTTTTATGTATATAAGTATCATAGTCATGCTCTGTAATAAGTATATTACCACTTGTACCATCTACGATCGGTCAGTCCAGGCGTGGTCAAAGTTATACTTACTGTTCACAGCTTTGCTCACACTGGTCTGCTGCTTATCGGCTCTGGCCGTCAGCTCCGGCTTCTCAATCCACTTTAGACAAGACCCGCAGACGCTCTGCTCCGGCCAGGAGAACTTCCTGCGCATCGCCAGCATCGAGGACTGCCGCCAATACTTCCAGTGCTATAATGGCCGCTCCTACTTGATGGAGTGCCCCAGTGGCACGTGGTTCAATGAGGAGGACCAGGTAAATCTTTGGTTTAACCTTTATTATGAATGATAAATTAATGGTATTCAAGATGTTCCTGCGCGTCATCAGCGTAGATAGCTACATTTCCAGTGCTACAATGGCCGCTTCTAGTGGGTCAATGAGGCGAACCAGGTTAATCTTTGTTTAACCTTTGTTAAAGATGATTATTAATGGTATTAAAGTAACCATTCAATGTTGCAATAGCTAGTGAATAAAAAATGTAATCCTGACGATCCTGACGAATTAAGAACCTTCTTCTTTTTTTGAAGTTAGTTAATAATTACGTAAAGTTGGCCTATCTGTCACAATCATAATAAAATTAATACGAAAATTAAAAGTTATTGTAGATATTCCTATTTAGGCAGATTTCGCACACACAGAACAGAAGTGTGAGATTTGACATACATACAGTTTTAATGGAAAAGGAATGGCATAAGCTTGTATTTTTTTTTATAATGTTACTTATCATGCATTAAAATAGGTAGTTACAATATAACTATTACACATACTAACATGGGTTTGCAACATACACTATGTTTCATTGACAGAAGACAGAACAGATTTAAAAATATTTTTTTAAAGGCAAAAGTCGTGCTTCGTTACTTGATTAACAAAATAACTGCAAACATATTTTTTTCATATTAACACTATTGTGGTACAGTATAGTATGGTAATTGCCTGTTTCAGGTATGCGACGATTCCAACCCCCCAGAAGGCTGCGAACTTGAGTCTGAAGAATCTGAATCAGAAGAAGAACCTGATGCAGAGGAATCCCAAGAAGAAGAAACTGAAGATGAAGATCCTGAAGATCAATCCCCGGAAGAAGATAACGGTGATGATTCTGAGGAAGATGATGATGAACAGGATGATGACAACGACGTTGACAGTGAAGATGCTATTGTCAAGCTCATCAAAGCAAGACGTTTGAAAAAACAACAAGAGGACAACGAAGACGCAGAAGAAAGTGATCCCGAAAGTGAAAATCAAGAAGGCGACGAAGCTCAAGAAGACAACAATGAGGAGAATGACGATAATAACGTTGATGTTATTAAAAATCTAAAAAGTGCTAGGAAAGTAAAACAGGAAGAAGTAGAACCCGAAGATGAAGAAAACGGTGATGATGATAACGCCGATGAGGGAGCAGACGATGGTGAAAATGATGATGGAGGTGACGAGGAAAACAATGACAACGACGAAGAAAGTGAGGGTAATGATGCAAAACTTCGTAAAGTGAAACAAGAGGAGAATGATGAGGAGCAAGAGAATGATGATGAAGAAGGTCAAGAAAATGAAGGTGAACAGGATAATGAAGAGGAGCAAGAGAATGATGGTAATGATCAGGGAGAGCAAGAATCCGTACCAGAACCCAGGAGCATAAAGAAGCAATTGAAACAAAAGAACCAGCAAGAGGAAGATAATAATGACGAAGAACCGTCAGAAAGCCAGGTAGATGATAATGATGGTGGTGATGACGATGACAATGATGATGATAATGAGGTAAGCTATGAAGAAATTATGCCTCTAGAACAAGACGCAGAGAAGAAATTGAAACATTTTTTGAAGAAATCGATGAAAGTCGGCTTTTAAGGGGTTGGAGCTGGAGCATTCATAAACTTTCCAGAAGGAATGTTTTCTTGTAATGCAGTAGGAAAGTAGGAAAAGGTATGATAGCAATAGTTAGGTTATTTATTCTAGATGTTAAGCGCTATGATTAGGTTCACTTTGTGCAATTTTGTAAATAATGTGAGTGAGTAATTAAACATTTGAGGTGAATACGAACTTTTCTTTACTAAACCGGCATTACACTTGGCTATTCGTATTAGCTATTTGTGAACTTGACTAAAGTCCTTATCATGCTTTATGAGGAATGAAAAAGACAGGCTGATGACAAGTTTACTAATAGCAAACACGAATAGAGCATTAGGTTAGTTAGCAAACACAACAGACGTTGTCCTACTTCTACCCGAAAATATAATTATAGAAATAGCTGACCTAACGAACTTCGTACCGCCATATAACCTATTTATATGGCGGTACGAAGTTCGGGTCGGTGGTGGGTGGGTGAAAAGTTTGGGTTCTTAGTAATTTTAATGACAAATCATAAAAGGGCAAGGGTTTGATAACAAACAAACACTCTTAACTTCTAACACGAGATTTTAACGTATGGTCGTAGCCACGCAGACATGTCAACTCAGAGACCCGACTGAAGCACCACCTGTGCCGTTCTCAAATTTTATTTGTGCTATTACTATCTGTCATTAAATAAGAAATTAGGCAGAAGGACGTCTACCGCTATCCTCGAAAATAACTACCACATTGCTTTTGATGAGACGACGATGATACGATTACGGAGCTGTCAAAATTCGTGCTTGTGCCCTCTGTGTCGCGTGTGGCAGCGAAGTACGAAGGTCTACTTAACGGTTTTATGCGTCGCAAGAGTTACTGGGGCCTACCCGAGCCTTTAATATAGATCCAAACGCCTAAAACAGCAAAATAAAAATTATACACTATATAAAATGCTGCATACAAAAGAGACCGATTGTGAAATATATTATAATAGTAATTGATATGTACCTGTAAGGTCAATATTGTATAATTTTATTGCATGAATCCCCGTACCAAAACAAACATTTATTGTGTTCGAACACCTTTAAATAAAACAATTTAAATATTTTTTATAGCGATTTATTACATTATTATACAAAATGAATCTCAAATACAATTAATAATCATAATGTATAAGTAACACAACCAAAGCAAAACATTATACATTGAATTTGAGAAATACGTACGTTTATGTCGCTGGCAAATTCGACCGTAAATGCAATCGGGACATAAATTACGATCCAATAAATTGTTACATCGAAACGTTTGACTAAACATATTGACTCAATTATTACATTTGTTTTAGCCTACTCATTGGCAGTAAAAACCATTTTAGAATTATCAACCAGCCGTCATAATCACGGTACATTAAGTTATTATTAACGCTAGTTATAAAAAATAAACATCTAAAATTAAACATAACATCGAAACAGCGTTAAAAATAAATTAGAGCCGACCAAAGATGTAAAATTGAAAAGCACTCGCGGCTTTTTTCTTTTTTTTTTTATGTGTAACTAGGTAAAGGACCATAAGTTTTACTAGGATTTTAAGTTTTACTTAAAACAAGGAAACGTAAATAACATGTATTTATTGAAGTAATAATTTTAATACAACAATAAATTATAGAAATCGAAACAATTAAAACATCTTTTTGTGGCCAAATGTACGTATCAAAATAACAGAAGCGTTTCGATTCAGTACTTGGGCACCATTGCAAACTATGAGAAGTGCGCTGATTTTTTTAAACGTGTGAATTTCTCTGCCTATCAAGAATAAATAACCAGCTAAATTTGAAAGTTTGCTACTGTTCGTCGTTCCGTCTTCGTTTACAAATCAGTCAATGACGCGAATGGCAAAAAACTAATCACAAAGTTCAACACATGCAGTCAAAATGGTCACAAGTCTATTTAAGCAACGCTAAAACCGACGATACAATGTTATATATTATCAAAACATGGTCCACCTTGCGCACAGTATAAAAAGAGTAGCAACAATTCGATTAGATATGTGATGTCGTTAATATAGAATGTTCTGTGACAGTCAAAATAACATACAAACCCTTATATATATAAAAACACGTTACAGGGAAGTTTCTCGAAAGTTAGCGAAGCAAATCCCGTATTAAGTATATCACATGATTATAATATTTTGTATAAGATCCCAACCGTCACAGACCGTGAGCTTACCCTAAAGCGTATTATAGAAATGTTCGTATTTATTTTAATGTTTAAAATAACATAACCACACTGACCGAATACATTTTAGCATCTATGATATTGTCAAACGCTTCGTAAAGTTTTAGGTATCACAATTATGGGCCCAATATCTTACTTGGGAAACGCTGCGTTTGACAATATATCACAAATTAGAATCATATCACCTTGATGACTTCGCCATTATGTCACACCCAAGGACACTTGGGCGTACAAAAACAACTCTATTTTAAAATTAATTAAAAAATATACTTTAAAATTAGCAAATTCATACTATATAATAATTAATATTTGTGTTAAAATAAAAATTATACTCGAATAAGAGGAACGTTACAAAATAATAAATAGTTTTTAAAACGACTATTTACAGCTATATTGTAGGCGTGGCGTGGCGCCTTTGGTAAACAATTCCAACGTACAAATCCATCGCTACAAGTTATCTACTAATGCGGTTACATGAAAATATCACGTGTACAAGAATACATAGTTTACATTCGGTTAGTTAGTACAAAACGGTTTCGTTCACTAGAGACGATTTAAAGCGTGCTCCTTACAAGTTAAGTCGTATCAAATCCTTCGATATACCTGGGTAAAAAAGTACGAAATAGCTGCGTTTTGTATCAAAATTTGTGTGAGACGAGGTGCCGGGTCAAAACAGACCGACGTCCTTCTTCATGTTTGTTTGCTTCCAAGCTGGGAGCGCGGAGAAATCTTCCTTGGTCATTCCGAAGGCCTCCTGCAATAAAAATATTATTAACATATTGATTATATATTTACAAAAAAACCTTCAAACTCAATTGAGAATTTCCAACCAACCAAATTTTCCGCGATTCTTGCGATCTTGACATGGTCTGATCATATTGCTAGTACAGTACCAGGCCATTTATGTTGTCTTTTACCTACATGTTTTCTTTTTGTATTGATTTCAAAAAAAAACTTAAAAAAAAGTTTTAGCAGATCTTAATAGATACCGGACTGTTAGTGTTTCATGTGACAGAGATGACGCTCTACAAAGCCGAAGGAAGCCAAAGCTATCTCTTTCTAAAGCTCGATGCGACTTATAAATGGCCGGGTACTGTAACATAAAGTTGAACTAATGATTAAAAATTTATTCAAGTCATAATCATTACCTATTTAATAATAAATATCATTTCGCGGACAAATTTGCACCAAAAATTACGATTTTGATAGTTAGTACGTTTTGAAAATAATCTCTTATCTATTAGACAAGTCCGTCCGTCTGTCTGTGGTGCTGTTTCAGCGGCCAAACCGTAAGAGATAGATAAAGAGAATATTTAAGTTATAAGTTAAGAATAGTCTGATAAGACTACAAACCGGATTTGAGTAACGTAGCACTTCCGGTTTTCGAGAAATCAGGTTTTGGTGAACATTTGGTTCACTGGTTTGCTAGTGGTACTATATTAAGTAAAAGTCGCAATTTAAGTATAACTCGGCGGACGATATCCCGATAAAAAATTGCCTACCCATCCCTCTTTGAAGTCATGACTATTATACATATAAAAGAAGTCTTATTACCAAGATACACTACGGCAGCGATGAAACACCAGTATACAGGGCATTAAAAGTGTACCCTATGTCTTTAAATATAAAGCATTAATTCGCGTACCTAAGTAGGTAGAACTGCTTAACATGTTGGCACGTCCTACAAATTTGTATGCGGTGCCATTATGTCTTCTATGTCTTGGGAGCTAAAGGCCAAATTTGGTGTACCTAAGTATGTCCAGGAGTGGCTTTAAGCCACTCATTTGCCGCCTTATTCCAAAATGCGGACTAAAAATAGTCTTGGTTTAAATCTAATATTGTCTGTATTCTTTCCAACTTTCTTTCCAACCAATTGACAGCATCAATTTAAGTCGCGGTTAAACTTTAGTCTACCTTTTGTAATAAGGCGGTTTGGGTTTACCTTGCCGGAAAAGCGAGAGCGGGAAAACAGCCAGTCTGTTCTTGCGATAGCTTTAGTTCGTTTCCCAGCAGTAAAAGCAAATGACAGGATTTTTCGCTCAAATTAAAGCGCCTGTCTAAGGGAATAACCGCCACCCAAGGCTCTTTTAAGGCCTCATGAAAATGCCTTGGTCCCCACCTTGGAATCTTACTAGATATATAGTCTCTTCGTTTTGTAGCAATAAAGTAGTCTACCTGGTGTCTATGTTGGAAGCATCGCCTCAGTAATCTGCATGTAAAATTTAGTCTCCTCGTATTCTAATGTCTGAGCGAAGTCGCACATACCAGAAGTGATTCCCAGAGAAGTGTACGCCATTAAGTCCCTTAAATCTAAGTGCTAAAAGCACACAATCGCGTACCTTAAAGTCAGTGTCTGAGACATGGCACTCGAAATTATTTGTAGCCACGTGATCGGGCAGAGGTCACTGAGTCAGAAGAAAATCTAGAAAGGCGAGCCATTAAGTCCTTTAACCCCTGGTCTGTGTAGGCCACCATTTTGTTTTTCACGGCAGCAAAATCTGAGATTTCCGGTCGTTTTTCCTCTTATTATTCGAGTGCTACTATACATACAGGCTTCATTTATGTGTTAAATCAATCCTGAATAGTTTCTCTAAATGTCTAAATATAAATAAAAGTATAAATCTCACATCTAAATGTGTAAATTAAAAACCATTAGTAAATAATGATAAAACGCAAAATATGAAAAAAGAAAATAATTTTCTCAACTGAGGCAGAAATCATCCACTTACACAGACGAGAGGTTAAATCTAAGCCCCTAAATGATATGGCGCTCCAGATGCTTCGGATCCACGTGGTCGGGCCGAGGTCGCTACCGCAATTCCGCTAGCGGTCAGCTCTCGGAGAAATGCAAGCCATTTACCCCCCTATATCAAAGTTACTAAAGCACACAATCGCGTACCCTAAAGTCTATATTCGAGAGATGGCGCTCCAAATGATTAAGTTAAGGTCAGGAAGTGGCCTCTGCTAAACTTCTGCTAGCGGTAGAACCGCCGCTGTACTCCTGAGACTGGTCAGCTTTCGGAGAAATGCAAGCCATTTACTACCCTATATCAAAGAACCTTAAGCACACAATCGCGTACCTTAAAGTCTATGTCCAAGAGATGGCGCTCCAGATGATTTGGGTCCATATGGTCAGGATGTGGCCTCTGCTAAACTTCCGCTAGCGGTAGAACCGCCGCTGTACTCGTGAGACTGGTCAGCTTTCGGAGAAATGCGAGTCATTTACTCCCCTATATCAAAGAACCTTAAGCACACAATCGCGTACCCTAAAGTCTATGTCGGAGAGATGACGCTCCAGATGATTCAAATCCACACGGTCAGGAAGTGGCCTCTGCTGAAGTTTCGCTAGCGGTAGAACCGCCGCTGTACTCGTGAGACAGGTCAGCTTTCGGAGAAATGCGAGTCATTTACTCCCCTATATCAAAGAACCTTAAGCAAACACAATCGCGTACCCTAAAGTCTATGTCCGAGAGATGGCGCTCCAGATGATTCGGATCCACGTGGTCAGGAAGTGGTCTCTGCTGAAGTTCCGCTAGCGGTAGAACCGCCGCTCTACTCGTGAGCCGCGACAACTCGTAGTCGCCGCATAGCGCGTCGCCGGCCTTAAACCCGTGCTGCAATGTACAGTGCGGAAGCTGTCATGTGCGGTAATTTTTTACAGTGTTTCCAAGCGGATAGAGGGTTTCAGTAGGTATATGAAGTTAGGAAAAGTTAGATGGCAGAACCTTAAAATAATAATAATAATTTTAATAACCCTTAAAATAGTAAAGTTACAACCCAACTGAAGACTAGTTAAATGTAATCAATCTCCAGTAAAAGACGAGCTTATTCTGGATGTTTTTCTTATGGTTCAATTACATTTGGTCATTAACCCGTATTCGGGTGCACAAAAGACATTATTCGAATTGAGGCACCCAAAGTAATATTTACACTGGAATACAGGCTCCGCCGAATTCCGTTGGCACTCCTATTCGGGCTAACGACCAAGTGTAATCGCGCCATTAGCAAAACTTGATATTTTGAACCGATCAACAAAAATATCTTGACAGATAAGGTAATCGAATGCTTAGACAGTTGCTTTTGATTTACGACTTTTGATAATTTATTGATTGATTGATTTGTTGAAACTTGCCATTAGAGGTTGATTCAGCAAGCCTTATAACTAAATGGCATGGCATTAGCAGGCATTTACTTCCTTAAAGAAGTTAAAATCTTGGTTATAGTAATTATAACGTTAAGTTTCATGTATATTAAATAATTACATGATTATAAGTGAAACTCATACGCACTAAATAATCAGATGTCATAGATTTAATAGTATATATATAATAATCATTTATTTCAGATAATTATAATAGAATTACAATCCATTTTTGATTTGCATTGACTTCTAACCAAAATTCTTAAAAGACAGTTTTTAAGATTTTTAACTTGATGCATTATCCAGATTCATGAAAATTTAGCTTCACATAGAAACATGTTCATTGTCACTTGACAATTTGATAAAAACTAACTTCATTCCACGCATGACTGATTTGTCGCTGTCTTCCCTGATAACATTGATTTATTAGTCTTATGAATTGCGTATGACGTAACTGATAAACATCATATTATACTAAAGATTACACTGAACCAATCACCAAAATGAAAATGTCAAATCTGCAAGATATTAGGGGCTTCACATAATATGTAAAGCATATTATGCCATTCTTAATAGACCTTAGGCTGCGATCTCCTAATTCCCTTGTCATTTAATTAAAATTATAAAATCATATTAACAGATACATATCGCGATAAAATAATTTTCATTCATCTAGTCTGGCGGAAAGATTGATGGCGACCAATATGTATAAACGCTGGGTACAAATAAACCATTACAATTGCAGATAATTTAAATTAATTAATGAAATTAATTTGACTGAATGTTTTATACTATTTTATTCTGTTTTAATTTATGGATTTTTAATTCATTGTTCAATTTCAATTTCATTTGACATATGTGTTTTTTAAGTGTATTGTTTTATTACTACTATTATTTATTTCAATGTAATTGCTGTACTGTTGTTTAATTTTGTTATGGATCTCGTGTCTGAAATAAATGCTTTATTATTATTTATTATTAAATAAATGATATATTTATAATTCATTAATGGATGCAATTGGATCCTATGAAATGAATTATCAAGCTTCTTTGACATCTTACAGCGTCACAATGCAGTGATCTCTGCCTATAGTGAACAAGGCCACAACAGTAAATTTCTATAGTAAGCTTTCATAAGAGACCATAAACTTGACCATGATATGGTTGAAATCGCGGTTGCTGAACTCAGCAGCGCAATATAATTATAACTATTAACCTTTCACTTGAGATGCAAACTTTATGGAGGCTGTGAAGTTAACGCAAGTAGCGGCGCAGTAAACGATAATTGCTGCTGTGCGCGGGGGGGGGGGGGGGGGGGGGTTACTAAACTGACATCTTTACCCTAAGCACGAGCAACTAGCGGGAAAGTATTCGTATCGTCATGCCGTCGTCAAGTTTCTGTGGAAGGAGCTAGTTTGTCCTTACGTCCGGTAGAGGCGCTGCTTAATTTCCATAGAAACACTGAAGGTGGCGAGGAAAAAGGAGCTGGCAAAGTTAGTGCTTGGTGTACTGAGCGTAGTTGCGCTCGCTGCTAACTTCACAACCGTCATAAAGTATGAGACGCACTGTACCACCCTCTGAATATTAATGTCTGTAGATGCAGCGCTAAAATAGCAACAAGTTCGATTCAGCTTCCTCATAAGCCAGATACATTATCTGGAATATGTGTGTTGCATATGCTGTATAAGTGTGTTGAAAAGGGAAAGATATAGTGTTATTTTCTTATTTCGAATTTTGTTCTTAAGTAAACATTTCACATGATTTTTTTGGACATATATTTTACATACAAATACACATCATACATTTTATAAAAATATTTCTAAATTCCTCTGGTTTTCTCAATGTAAGGAATGCAACCAAACATTCTGTCAATACAAAAACCCAGGATACCATTATCTCACACGATTATAAGAAGGCACCAATCAAACAGTCATTATTCTAGCGTTACTTCTTCAAATCCCATGTCTTAAGTATCTACCACCAAAAAGGAAAAAGTAACCATACAAATTCAGAACCCAAAACCGCAAAAACATATCAAATTCAAATTGAGAACTCACCGCGATATTAGCGTCTGCTGCGTCGTCGTGCTCCAGCCACGTGTCGAAGAGGTCAGTGAACTGTTGCGGTTCTAGGCCGGCCGCCACCACTCGGACTACAGGCGTAGTGGTTAATGGGCGGGATGCGCGCCAATAGGCTTCGCAAGTGCGTAGAGCAGCCGCGCGGAGAGATTGCCATCGAGCCGCGAACGCGCCCACGCCTTATGAACAAAAGAACGTCGCTATTAACAAAACAATGGAACGTCGTCTCTAAGTTTGTCTGAATTGAGTATCTAGTTGTATGTACTAGAAATGGGGTAGTAGGCCTCGCAAGTACGTTAAGCGACCGAGCGAATGGTACGTGTCGAAAAGATCAGTAAACTGCTGCGGTAGGGATGAAACCATACGAGTAAATACAAGTGACTACTCGATACTTTTCTTTCGATACCAAGTACTTTTGGAACCTTACCTTTAGAACTGAGTAACAAGTAGTCTCTTGAAGTAAGTACTAGTATCAAGACTCAGTCGGTCAATCACTGAGAAGTATCAAAAAAACTCAGAGAGATTATTTACTGTATGGTAAGGTGTCTGGTTGGAATTATTGTTTCGCGAACGCATCTTTTCTACTGCTCAGTTAGTAGCCTTGCGTATGATTTATATTTATTCCAATTTGTTCGACTGAATAAATTAAACTGACTGACTAGTCATTCGTTCATCACGTGACGTGAGCTGATATTTTGTTTTCGTTAAATTAAAACTGTGACTGAATTTGCAATTGTAATATCGTTCGTCAAAATTTATCGATACAAGTAAGTATATATTCACGGGCATTTGTCTCGGGTGTCGTTCCTATAAAGGAGTTTATTTATTTATTTGATCACCAACATAATAAACATTGACGCAACTATCTAGCAGGTAATGATAAAATACTTAAGCTTAATGTCATTACAATTATAGGTGAAGACCACATGCGTTATGGAATAGAAGCAACAAATGCTGGTAAACTGTCGATGAAAAAGCCTTTAAAAGCTTTCTAAGATTTAAAAAAAAACAGTTTATTAAGAAGTCGTAATTTCTAAGTCATAAAGCTGAAATTAGCATGTATAATTCCCGTCCTCAAACTAAAGTGCGGCTAAGTGACATCCAGTCCTAAATTGCATCTTATAAAGTTTTTAATTCTCTATCAATCTGTCTTTCATAAGTATTCGTATTTTTTAATTTAAGTCTAGAAAATCCGTCATGTGATGAATGATTACAAAAATAGCAATAATTTAAAGTTTACACGCCGTATTTAGCCATATCTCAAAAGTTGGTTTTGTCATTTAGCCGCGTTGTAGCTTGAGGACAGCAGTATATTAACCAGCACTTCTGTCGGATGGTGCTCCTGTTATTTGATTAAAAAATCGAAATTCCTAGGGGGCCTTTCAAGTATTACGTTAGGGTGTCATGGACTGAATACTGTTAATTGGAATTAATATATATACCAAAAATTCGAATGAAGTTTGTTTTGTTCGTAATAGTACTTAATAATATTACAATATTTTTACCTTACTCTATGTTGAATACTGTGTCAATAAAGTTTGTTTAAATGAATTTAATGTGCGTTAAAGTCTCTCTATTCTAAGCCTATTTAAGTACTGCTGCTCATGAAGCTCATGAATCAATAAAAAAAACAGAATACATTAAAGAAAAAAAAATGCATATAGGGACCAATGTTGCATGAATATTACGTAAGCATGGAAGGGTGGTAAGAGCTTTGCTTACTTTTGCTGACAAGGGGGAGGAGGGAGTAAATAATTGTAATATATCTGCTTACGTAATACTTGAACGGCTCCTAGGTATTAACGTTGATATGCACGTATATTTACCGGCGTTTCTCTCCGCGGGTTCCAATTCGCCGTCCTCGCCCCGCGGCCACCAACCCTGCCACAGCCATACGATCTTGCCGTCGTCCAATAGGAATAGAGCTGAAAATACAATGTCTTTTTTATAACAAGATTCAAAGAATGGGCATAAAAACTAATTGCTTAAGAAACCTAGAAAAAACTTGGAAATATTTCCAGTATGGTGAATAGAATATTTGTTCCTTAGATTTTCACGCACATCACTAATTAAATAAACCCGTTGAAACTTGTTTTGTTTAATGATGAATAGAAGTAAATTATTGAGTGATTTCTTATTTCTAGAAAGACATTAATGTAGCAGATGATTCGTGGTTTTTCTTTAAATATAACTTTATGAACAAATTTTATTAAAAGGGGTTTATTAGCCCAATCAGATAAGAGGAGAGGGCAACACGTCATAGACATTAATAAATTATATTATAGAAGCAATAGGCTGCTCTAAGCAAAAAGCTTTTTCTGGGCATGATTTTGACTTAAGGTTATATTTATTTTTACGACTAAAGTATGAACTAACATGACATGAGCCTTTGAGTTTTTACGACTTAAGTATGAACTAACATGACGATAATAATAAAAAAATCCTCACCTGGTTGCGAAGCTGAATACAACTCCTTTTGTTCAAAAGGGAAGGGTGTCACCAAATGTTCGTGCCGCAATGGAGACAGCACCTCGTTAGCTTCGAACTGGCCACCAAGATCCGTGAAATGGAACAACCTAGCCGTACTATCACCCCCTACGTCTCTACCCGCCCCCAAAACAGAACTATAATGCTGTTTATTAGCTACCCCCAAAGCTTCCAACACTTCTTTGGGCTCCTCCCCCTCTTTAACCTCCGTAATTTCAATATCAACGCTACTTTTGTAAAGATAATCGCATTTTCGAGCGATCAGTTTGTTAGCTAGTTCTATAGCGATATTCTTCGTGTGTTTTAAGCTTCGAGCCCCATGCCAGATGTAAAGGCGACCCTTTTCTGTATCAGCTAGTAAGAGAGATCCACGGCTTCGCAATTGCCGTACTGAGCAAGGCACTTGCAGTAAGTACGCTTCGTTGGCAAGATTTCCTCGTGTTACGAATAAACGGTATCTATTCTTATCCGTATCTCTCTTCCCTTGATGGATGACCAAGTTTCCTTGGAAAAGGTTTAGGAAAGCAGGGGGTTCGTTCCCTTGAGCCACTCTCACTTGGGGACCTTTCTCTCTATCTAATTCTACTGTTAACAAAGCGGCCGCCCCTTTTTCGTTCGGAGATGCGTCTTTTCCTTGCCAGCAAAAGTATGCGCATCTATCGCGCCCTGTTACATTGTGCTTCGAAGGTTTCCCGTTCAATTCCCGCCCAGAAACCGTTATCTGGTACTCCCAACGGATAATATAACTATCGGCAGAAAAGAAAACGCCGATTTCAGATTCGTTCTCCACTTTCTGATAGTCGTTGTCCTGTATGACCCATTTGGAGACAGTTTTCGTTTTGATATCGTAATGTCTCATGGATTCCTTGTCGTAGTAATGCGTGCCCCTACCGATGTGGGATCCTTCCAAAGTGAGATCTGGATCCTGGTATTCGTTGGACCACATCTCCTCGGCATCGCAAGGAGTTATTTCCGCGGAGTTGGATTTATTCTCGGCTGGCTTCACTTTAATGACTCGGGAGTAATCGGGCCAATCGATGAATTTCTCTTTGAACAGTATGGTTTCCATGTGCTGAGTCACTTTGGATAGGATCGCCCATTCGGGGCGTTTCTTCGATGTTTTCACTACTCCGTTTGATTGGGAATCCCTAGCACCTTGATGAATTGCCGCATTCAAAGGGTTTATATGACACTCTTCATAATTATATCCTTCATCAAACAATTCTTGAGCTAATTGAGCCGCTCGCCTTCTACTCTCCAAAGGCACGTTTTTCCCGTACCATATGTACATTTCGGAGCCGTAGTCGAAAACGATGATCTTCGATTGGTTTAACATCGCGATTTTTGGCATCTGACCCCAGTATTCTTTTATGGGGACCAATTCGTCGTCCATCACTTCGTAACACATATTAGTTTGTACTATACAAGACTCGTAGATTTCGTCTTCGTCCGCGTGGCCGGTTTCTACGGGTTTGTAGTCTTCTATGGAATCTGTTACTCCTAGTAGTGACCAGAATTGGGTCCAATGTTTGTTTGAGAAGTTTTTGGTCTGCTCGTCGATTTTTATAATGTCCGTAACCGACTTGCAGCCGAGATCCTTGGTCTTTTGAATGTGTAGTGCGATGTCGGTGCTCCTGTTCCTGTGTAACAAAAAAATGACACAAATGTTTAGATTTATTGACGTTAACAGATAATAATGGGATGCTTATCCTACGATTTGTTCATGTCTATCCCCAAACGAACAATAAATAACAACGAAGCGGTATGATAACATTTGGATAGGTACACATATTTTTTTTCTAAATGTGGCTACATAAATGTTTATCAAAAAAAATATATTTTTTCATGATTATAAAATGGAAATGGTTTGAAGTATATACAGACATATATTAATACGGATTGTATTAAAAGCGTATGTTTTTTCAATTTTCTTGAATACCGTTCTACAACCACTATTATCCTGTGCTCAAAAAATAACTTGACATAAATGTAATTTCTTTGTTAGAATACCTAGTATTATTTAATTATAGCAAAACTTACCTCTCTATGACATTGGCATAGAGTCCAATGTACAGGAACAGCTGTTCCGTGGTGGTTAGAATGAAGCAATCGCCCCGATTCACATTCGTATGCACTGGTTCTACGAGTCGAGTCTGTAATTGAATAACACATTATTTTATTACGACAAAAGTACAGGATCGGAGAAGGAGGAGAGACTTTTACTGCTTTACTAAAGAACATTAACAAAAGTCTTAAACTGATGTTGTCACTTCTTTTGCTAAAAGGAAGACAGAGATAGAATGAGGTTTAATTAAACCAAGCCTAAGTTTAATCCGCGCTTTGGAATAAGGCGGTTTATATTTATCTAGTCCCGCATTGAGATATGGCGTGATGCTATATAAATAGCATGTATACATTTAAAGGATTTTTTTAAAATCTTTTACAGTTTAATTAGCATAGTGATTGGACTATAATCATGTCAAAGATCAAAATAAATTTGAAAATGCTGGCCAAGTACCAGTCGTAATCGTACTTGAAGGGTAAATCGTACCATCTTAAAAGTTTATTTGTAAGAAGAGCCCCCTTTTTCCCGATATTTTTTACAATATTCGGTGGCTATATTTACTGTTCTATCTATCTAACTTTTTGCTGTTTAGTATAATAGTATTCCGTTGACACTCTTTGGGTACGGCACTCAAAAATATTACTCAACTTACTAAAAATCTCAATAAATAAACCCACAATTTCAAATTCACAGCAAACTCAATATACCAGTCATATTTATAAACAACTATTATTACCTGCACTCGTCTCCTGCCTTTAACGTGTAAAAGCATTAAAGGTTTGACTCCTTGCGTTGGGACCGAAGTGGTTGAAGCGCTGCGCAGCGCTACATTCGCGAAGTCCTCTTTGGTAGCAAGCGCTGCAAGCGCTTCCGCTGCCAAGCCACAGTTGGCCGTTACTGGATGAAAACAATAGAGGAGATTAACTTAAAAAATAAAACTAACAAAAATCATTAAGATTGCAGTAAGGTCCACATGCAGCAATTTTGCTGTATTCCAATTTAACTACAACTACATATAGCCCATACAAAACTGTAATTTGACAGTTTGAAATATTTTTATGGGGATAAAGCTAGTTTCAGTTGAATCTAGATTAATGAATTTGCTTCAAGTGGGCCTAAATTCACTAAAACTAGAATACAAGCCCATACAAGAATGACAAAAATCAATTTGAGATTATTGTATGAGTTAAATCTATTTTTAGTTAAATTGAGATTAATAAAAATTGCTGCAAATGGGCCTATATACCAAACTGAGGAGATAATTCATAAGTTTGAGACTGTCATTATTACAGGACATTCTCGCAAACCCGCTATCGAAAAACGTCTACTGCGCAGGTTTATTTGTCTGTGGTTATACTCAAGCCCCCTTATTAATAAACAAGGAATAAGCTTAGACTAGTTAAGCCGTGTTTTGTTCTTGTCACTCAAATGCCATTTGTCATTCAATAGACAGAGACAAAACAAGAAGTAACTAATCCAAGCGTCGTTCGTTTATTAATAAGGGGGAGGAAGTTTGCGGATATCTATACGATGTTATCAACAAAACGCTTACCTTTTTCCTTGATCAGTTGTTCCCTGATCGTAGAAGGGGGTGGTAGATATTCCTGGCGAATGTCAGTTCTCGCTGCTAACGCTCTTAGAGGATTCCTTGAAGCCGCGTGTCGCCTTTCCCGTTTGGCTCGCCGCGCCCAATCACTTGCGAGGCTGAGGAAAAATACACTCTATATTTAGGGGTTAAAGATTTATAAAAAGCACTTTTTATTGACTTTTGTAGTGTGTTGTGTGTGCGTGTTGTAGAGACTGTCATATAAGAACATGTTTTTACTACAATTAGCCTCGCCCCAAAGTAGGCACTGTAAGACTTGTGTTATGGGATACTAGGGGAACGGATAGAATACATGTACTGATACATTAGGTGACACCTTGAAACCCGGCCTACATACCATTCGGACACGGAGGTCGTCAAAATACACTCTATCTTTATCATTTTTATTTATAAAAATACTTTTTTTTAATTAACCTTTGTAGTGTTGTCGAATTCAAAAAAATATTATGTTGCAATTACTCAACTTGACTGCACAGACTATAGGAGGTCAGTAAAATGTTAAAATTATTAATGGAAATTATTATTAGGGTTCCCTTTTTTTGGGTTCCTTTTCGCTATATCCGTCCGTCCGTCTGTCCGCAGCTTAGCCTTAAGACTCTTAGTATTAGAAGGCTGTTTTTAGCTGCTAGCTATATACTTATACATAGTCACGCTAACAAAGTGTAAAAAGACACATTCAGGTATTTGAGGTCTGCAAAAAAAAAGTTTGCAAAGAAGGCAGAATCGTACAATTTTTGAGGTTGCCTAAAGACATGAATACTGACATCTTTCTAGAACCCCTATCAATGGCGTCTAGGTCTACATCAGCCACATCTTGGGTCATGTCCTGCTGCTGCAGAAACGCGAAGATCGCGTGGAAGGTCTAATCATAACTGTCATTGGTATTTATTAAAGAAATATTAGTAAAATAAGATGCAAATAACTCACAGTTGTCTGGAACCACTATCAATTGCGTCCAGGTCTACATCAGCCACATCTTGCGTCCTGTCCAACTGCTGGAGGGGCGCGAAGAACGCGTGGAAGGTCTCGTCATCGGCTCTTGGAACCAGCACTGGGCAACCAGATTTCTCCGCCCCTGGGGACACTTCATCGTCTAAAATAAGGAGAAACATACCATAAATAAAGGGTAAAAATACCAGATTCATCATCACAGACTAGTAATGCCCCCACTGCTTGGGCCTTCCCTATGGATGAAATAGGGAGATTGGGCTGTGCCCACCACGCGGGTCCAATGTGGATTAGTGGGTGTTAACGACTGCAGATGCAGCCGGGTCTAAAGGCTTAACGTACCTTGCTAAGCACGGAGGAATTCGAGATAATAAGTTTCAGGTCACTTGTTAAAGTTGCTTAAGTTCCACGATCGCAGGCCGATCACTGTCTAACTGCTCGAGCAGTCCGGGTATGGTAAGCATGCCGCGAACCCGTTGTTTGTAAGCGAGTTTACTGTCAAATATCCAAGTATTAAAATTTCTTGCTCTTGAAAGGAAATGTAGCAAATTCTTTTTTAATAAGAATATCCAATTTTATAAAAAAATCGTTTACAATTTTGATGATATATTTATAGAGCCAATAATAATGTTCGGATGTTTTTAATGCTTGTGAATGGTCTAGATTCACATAAACACTTTGGATTAATAGGGCCATCTCGTTCTTTCCTGCGGAAGCTGAGGTAATGGAGTAGTAGGTGATTGACATGAATAGTCAAGAACATCTAGTATCACACTATTAATACCTCAGAACAAAATTAAACCATAGAAAGAGTTTCAATTCTACTCATATATCCTTTTTTTACATACACCAGATAAAAAAAAACAAATATGTTGCTATACACAGCGTGCATACCACTATACTAACGTCAAATTGGATATCTTTGGCCTTTGTACTAGTACATCTTGTGGATACCTTGGTTACATTTACGATACCGAATTAAAATGCGATTTAATGTCAAATGCAACCTGCCAACACGCCACTAATACTTTTTGGTTGGGTAATACGTATAGTCTATGCGTCATAAAATAACTATGAATATGCTATTCATTTTGTTTTAGTTCTTGTTCTGAGGGTGTAGTATTTGCTTGATATCTATGATTGACATCCTTCACTTTTCACGTTATTTCGCTAGATGGAGCTAATAGTCAAGAACATCTAGTATCACACTATAAATACTCACCCTCTTCTAATCTCGTGCTGATATTCTCGCTGACCTAGTTGCTTCGTTTGAAGCAGTCGCAGTCTATTCTCGCGAACTCCTTCTATTTGTCGGCGACCACTCATGACGCCATTCCGTTGTTCGTAGGCGAGTTTACTGTCAAATAGCCTATATTATCAAACAATACTCACTCTCTTCTAGTCTCATGCTGATGTTCACGCTGACGGAATGGCTTCGTTTGAAGCAGTCGCAGTCTATTCTCGCGAACTCCTTCTATTTGTCGGCGAGCGCTCATGACGCCATTCCGTTGTTCGTAAGCGAGTTTACTGTCAAATAGCCTATATTATCAAACAATACTCACTCTCTTCTAGTCTTGTGCTGATATTCTCGCTGACGGAATGGCTTCGTTTGAAGCAGTCGCGGTCTATTCTTGCGGGCTCCTTCTGTTTGTCTGCGACCGCTCATGACGCGAAACCGTTGTTCGAAGCAGAATTAATTGTCAAACAGCCTATAATATGAAACAATACTCACTCTCTTCTAGTCTCGTGCTGATGTTCTCGCTAACGGAATGACTTCGTTTGAAACAGTCGCGGTCGATTCTTGGGGGCTCCTTATGTTTGTCCACGACTGCGCTTACTACGGCACACGACGCGGACCTTAGGGGGCCTGACGCGAAACCGTTGTTCGTAGGCGAGTTTTGCTTGCGCGACCTGAGAAAAGAGAGTTTAAGCATTTGAATTCCTTGTATTTTCTCGAACATTGACTCCTCCACTCCTACACGCGGTTGGGAATTGGATCAGGGTAGGCAACGGCGCAAGCTTTTATATGCTATGGTGGCCGCTTAATCATCAGGTGGATCATGCTTGTTTGCCACCCTTTTAACAATATGACGAATATTGCCTTTAGCATGCCGACGCGGCAAAATGCGATAGCGTAAGGTGTTCCTGTACGGAAAAACGAAACATAAATTGGGGCTAGGCTAATTGGTAAGTGTGGGAATTATAATTGTTAGCGATACTGGATCGGTCGTTTTCACACCTATTTCGTCATTATGCCTTTTCCATTTCAGTGCAAAATGCCGTAATTTTTTTGCCACGCTAGTTCTTTCTTATATGGATTCTCAGTAATTTGCATGCCCCATTAAATATAATTCGGGATACCCTCTAATTCCATATATAATTTATAATCGTATTTCGCTGAGATTGATTGATTTGAACTCCTTTGACGCGCGACCATCTTAACTTTGTGAATCAGATAAAGTGTAGTATTTTGCCAAGTCCATAAAGTCTTGAAAAAACAGTAGCGATGTGTATACAAATACTAGAGATAATATGCTTTACTTATCGTTTTATGATAAAATCAACTGAATTCTTGCCTACTTCTCCATTAATGTTGATGCTTACAAGTTCTGTTGTCACAAGTCATTGCAATGATCACTCACCTGAACTTGTTCGGTGTGGGCACAGCGGGCGTGGTAACAGCGGGTGGGGCCACAGCGGTCGCGGGTGGGGTCATAGGCGGAGGCGTGAGCGGTGGCGTGGCGGTCGGCACTTTGTCGCGTTCCAAACGTCCGGCCACAGTGAATAGACTCGCGTCGTTTTGAGGCACGCGTTTGCGCCATCCCTGCAAACAAAATTCATAATGAACAAAACTTTTTCTTTTCCGTACTATTCGCAAGTGGAAATCTTTGCCCGCGCACGTGTTACCTCCTTCCTACAATCTGGGGTCCTTCAGGAGACGTGGAGAAGCATTTCTGCAGTTGCCGGCCTATGGAAATGTGTGAGGATGGTTGGTGCTGAACTGCTGCGCCAGCTTTCTTCGCGTCTGGACTTTACCACCACTTAACATCAGGTGCGGTAGTCATTTACCTACCTAGCTACAAAATCCCATGTTTAATTAAAATATATTTAGTAGGTAGTGAAGCGAAAGGATGTTCTTTAAAGGAAGTGATGGCGCTGGCGAATCACTCCTGTCACGTTAAGATGCGCTCAACCAATTCGCTCATAGCCCAAAGACTGATTGCAAATAATAATAATAATAAAGAAAAACATTTATTAGTTAGTGCCATCCGCCTGGATAACGAAAGACTCACGTTCGAATACTGTCTGAAACCTGGACCATTTAATTATATTCTTTATAAAAAAAAAACGATATACAACTTCGCAACCGCCATAAAATTATGGCTTGTGTTATAGGATATTTGGGGAACCTATAGAAATTCATAGGTAAGTATAAAAATACAAAAATAAAAATACAAACATGAAATACACATAACAATCACATTGAATAACAGAAAGGTAGCTGCTAAAAATCCAGTTAAATAGTTGAAACAAAGCCAAATTGATCAAAGTTAAACCAACTAGTCATCAAATTACGAAGATGCCTCACAAAGACTCACTACAAGTTTCTTTACTAATGCCCGTATTTTGGGAAAAAAACAACTCATACTTTAGACTTCATCGTCAAAAGAATAAAATAGAAAATTATTCAGAGCAAACGTTTCAAGTAAACTATACAAATAAACATATTTCTGTGATTGACTCATCTGTCTTATAATTTAGTCATACTTCCTGAAATGTTTGTATTACACAAAAGTTGCCACTTTAGCCAGGAAACTGTCAAATTCCTGCAGCACCAGTAAGTATATCCTTGATCTTTCCGCAACCTCCAAAGGTTGTGTTTTATTAAGGCAATTTTAAAGAAACATTTTGTTTGACATTTATTTCATATGACGTGTGTGCAGCGAAATGAGGTCAGATGTGCGTTTAAAGACCTCTCTTGAAGAAACCTTGCATGTGTTAAGTGCAAGAGACAACAACGCAGATGACTTGGTGTTTTCACAACATTTATTATATTTCTCAAGCTAATGCTAGTAAAAGTTTGAAGTAATCTCAAGAAGTTTGAAGCTATGAATAATTAAGACACGTTATCGTGTTTAGTACGAGTTATCTAACACCCGTACTCGGAGAAGTTAATAAAAATTAGGTGTGTCAAAGCGACGTGTTGTCTTATTCTATCATCAATGCCAATTTAAATAAGTTAAAATAGCCCGAATTGGGTTTCCCAATATTATGATGATTACAAATAGAATCAAAAGGATACCAAATATAAAGTAATGACGACCTCCGTGGCGTGAGTGGTATGTGCCCCGGGTTTCAAGGTGTCGCCTACTCAGGAATCGAATCCCGACAGGAAAAACGTTTGTATAATGAATACGAGCAATCGTACCTAAGTTGTGGATTCTTATCGTATTTCCAGATAAATATATTTATATATGTATCCCGTTACCCACTAAATCCCATAGCAAAAGGCTTACAGTGCTTACTTTGGGGCTAGGAACTAGCACTCAAAGCAACTATGGTGTAAGTTAGAATATGTATTTATTTAATTAAATACCTGCGCGGCAGTCTCGAGCTTGTTCCGTCTGTCAGCTAGAATGTTCGGGCCTAACTCGTTGTCCTCTATTTGTGCTTTTTTCTTTTCATCCACAGCCGCATTCAGAGTGTCCTGGAAAGAACAAAAGAGATTATTAAACAAATTGCTCAATTCGCAGCTTTTAAATTATCCGTTTTATTTTCTTGAGGTTTTTTTCTGTTCTTACCTATGCAGAAGAAATCATAACGAGAATTTTTTTCTAATGACTGGTTGGACTAATATGTCTTTAAAATTTTTATTTCTAAATAAGAAGCCAACATCTTATACAAATAAAAAAATCGAATAATATCTCATTGCAGTTCTCTATGTTTAAGTTTCTGTATAATGGATGTACCAACTTATGAAATATACCTAATAAATAATAATTAAACAGTAACTAAACGTTAATTAATAATATTTTATCTTCCACAGGAAATTGTCTCCTATAGCTAATGACACGCTTGATAACAAAACTGATATGAATTCAACGACATACATATCTGCTACCGCTTTCACTGATATCTACACGAAGGCAAAATATATTTTATTGGAGTATTTTAGGGCCGCTGTCACAGTTACCCTGAACTTTGTCGGTGACATTCAAGTTTTCTCAGTAAGACTTTTTTATTTGTATGTTTATTGATTGACGACTTAGAGACGGATGGAAATATTAAGATCAATCTGTTTCTTAGTGGGTTTCCTTCCAAAAAATCGCTTCAGCAATTCTTGGGTAATTTTAAAAATCTGCTGTTGAAGTGAATTCCAATACAAGTGTGTTTTATCTATCCCTCGGAACAAACTGCGGGAACATAACACTGCAAAATCAGTACCTACAGCTTTACTTAGCTAAGTCTACTGGAGGACGAAGTTGCATGTCAGCATTTAAACAAGCAACCATCAATATATTGTTTTAAACTTTCATGGTCACTAACATTATAGCTATTAACGGGATTGTTACCATTGAACCTTGTTTTTTATGAGTCTCCGATATTATAATACGATATTACAACATGTACTCATAAAAAACAAGGTACATGGTAACAATCCCGTTTATAGCTATAAAGCAATCATCAAAGTCAAAAAATGTCCTTATTCGAATTAGATGCATAGCGCAACTCTTTCGAATCTTTTTTTCCCTACCACCTTCCTTATTGGACATATTTTAAAATCGAGCGAAAGGACTTTACAACATTAAAAAGTATAATGTTACACCATTTACAAATCATTATGGTGTAAGATCCCAAGACTGCCAGACCATTAATTATTATTTTCTCATGGACAAAATATGAGTAACCGAGTAGTATTAGTGTATATAATGAACGTATACATTCGCTAACTTATGTTGTGGGTCTTTTTTTTTATCAGGGTGGCATAGTTGTGTTTTTGCTTTCGACATTTAAATTGTCTGGCAATAAAAACTGCTGACAGAATGTGTCTGGCAGTAAGAATTTCAATTTATTATACATATATTTACAATATTCTCTACAACATATGTAGGAATCAGTTCCCAGACTATAAGTTAATTGAGTAAAATTTTTATGTAGGTGTAGAAAAAAAATCTCTGATAAAATAAATTAGCCCTCAGCGCAAGTTAGCGACTACCTATATATATAAAAATCAATTACTGTTCGTTAGTTTCGCAACTCAAAAACGGCTGAACGGATTTATCTTATCTTGGTCTTGAAATGTTCGTGGAGGTCTAGGGAAGGTTAGAAAATATGGAAAAATTGCGAGGATAGTCAAAACGTCAATTTAGTTTTCCTATATAAACTGTTCTATCTTCTTTGCTGTCAAATATTTCACGTTCGTCCCTTTTGGTAGGGTAGACTCGGGTCCGTCATTTCTTCCAAATTATTTTAACCCGTAAGAAGTACGCGGGGTCAATTAGTGTATTATATATATATATACGTTCATTATACTCACTTATAATACTCGATTATCCATATTTTGTCCATGAGAAAATAAGTTAGGTCTGACAGTCTTGGGATCTTGTACTGTTATATTTTTACAACTTCAAAACAATCATGATATATTTTATATAGGAAACATGTTGGAATGATTGGAACAGTTCAAACCCAAGCTTTGTTGTCTAAAATATTCCTAATCAGACCCTTTGTAGTGAGTTTTTTTAGAAGTGATTTTTATGGTATTTTTATATTTATTTAAGGTTAACTCTTAGATAATACTCGTGATTTTATTGTATTAATAAGTAAATACAAAGAACAACTATGCCTAATCTGTTTTAATAATTTTTTCTGACATTGTTATTAGGTACGAGTATGTCTACTTGATGAGTTATTGCGTGATCTGAATATGCTAAGAAAATTTTAATTGTGAAATGAATAAATCGCAGGCGTGACAAACCGGTTCTTGGGGATTCATTAAGCTTATGCATATTATGCAATTACATAAGAAATCCGATTCAAACAGTAAAAAAGCGTTATACAGCATTAAAGATGATGAGTGACAGATTACACTGCTGTTTGTTACGCCGTGAAATAACGATACTATTGTTGCGCGTTCGTTAGATTCGACCTGTATTCTCAAAGATAACTTTGGTAACCACTCTTTTACATAACCAACAGAAAAAAATGGATTTATTAAAGTTCTGACAGGGAAATGTTTAAAAGAAATTTTATGTAGGGTAAACAATTTGCCTGTTCCCCTTGTAAGAAACTAAACAGTATCGAAACAATTTGGTTATGTAATTCATTTAACAGGGAACACTGGGTATTATTTTAAACAAAATAATTACGATTTGGACTACAGTAAAAGTTTTAACAACATGCAGTAAAAAAATATTCCTAAGAGCAAGATATGATTAACAACTGCCCAACATAACATTAAGTTTTGTAAAATGCCAATTAAAAATGTAATTACAACATGAAAATTGGTAGCTATTATGTTTATAAGTTCCGTTAAAAGATCCACCCCTGCTATAATTTTTTATTCAATTAAATAAATAGAAAAAGCATATTACGTGTAAAAGTACATGCCTGATTTTCTTTATAATCTGGATCGAATTTCTTGAATACGGGCTTTAGGCTGCCGTTGCCAGCATTTTTCGTTTTATTCTTCAGTTCTCCTATTACTGATCCAAAATTGAGGCCTACGGGAAACCCAGATTGCTTTTGAAGACGTTTCAGGAAAGGCTTATCGTTGTTTTCATTTTGATGTACGAGTTTCTCATTTATTTCTTTAGGCTCGGAAGCAACCGCGTTATTTTCAATTCCTGTCGAAATGATATTTAAACTATTGCTATTATCATTCAAAAATTTGAATGTATCAGCAGCTTCGTCAATAGATTTCTGAAGTTTTGCAGCTTTTTCACTTATAGAAAAGAATGAAACGTTATTATTGTTAGAAACAGGTTGTATTTCATTTTGAACTCCAAAAACCTGCTCCTCGGTCTTTGGAGCGTCCGTGAAATCTAGAGACAAATTGTGAAATATTGTTTGAATTTTATCATCGCTTAAAATAGTTTTTTCGAGAAACTCGGCAAATCTTTCCTTAGGCGGGCTCTCTCGTTTGTTTGAATTTTCGTGATTTACTTCATCGTTTATCTTATTTGGTGTAAAAATTGTTTCGTCTGTGTTATTTGCCGTTAGCTCTGTGCTTTCGTGAATAACTTTTTTCTCTTGAAGACTATTTAGGACATCGTCTATTTCTAAACGTTTGATTTTACATTCATGCTTTGTATCATCAAGCAGATTTGTTTCAATATTGCTACGCCGTATTTGTTTATTCAATAATGAAACCGGTAAAAGTATGTCATCAGTTATCAGTTTGTTTCCGTCTATATTTTGACCATTATCATATTTTGTATTTGGTGTAATGTTTTCAAGTGACGGTTTGTCTTTTATTTTTTTCAGAAGTTCACTTGGTGTAATTAATCGTTCCTTTACACCAAGGGACGGTGTAATTAATCTTTCCGTTTCTAAGGACTGTGTGAATTTCGGTAAATCTATATTATATTTTTCTTCAACTTCGTCTTGGAAACTTTTAGTGATAACATCATAGTTCCTATCGTAGACTTTTTCAATCACTTGAGAACCATGTTTCAGAGCATTTACTGTATTTTCATCACAACTATTTTTCTTACCAATTTCATTATTTGGCAGTGGTTCTAATATGTCCTGTTTGCCCGGCAACCAATATTTCCATATTAAGTACAAGATCACGCTGACGCCGACGATCACTTCAAAAATCATGTTGAATTGATTTTAAGTCCAATCACATCACTGACTAGAATAGGTTGATTTGCGACACGTGAGTTGTTAACAATCTTTGAAATTGTTTCGCTCCATTTGTAAAGAGTAGTTAATTGAGCAATAAAGTTTTTTTAACACTGCTAAAAATCACCACATCACAATCGTTGATTGATGCGTAATCCTATATGAATAAAACATAAGGTATTACCCGATTCGATGAAATCGATACGTGTTGTAAAACAAAAAGTCTACATGATAGACTTTATAATCGCCACGACACTTGACCGCATCGAGAGAATGACAATAGTGTACTATTGGTCAGACTCAATAATTCCTTCTATCATTAGTAAACAAGGCGGGTATGACTCACGCGCAGGGTCTCAGAACACGCATAACCCTACCGACCGGTGGTTACAAATGACGCATTTTATGTTATACAATGTTTGTCAATATTGTAGGTGCGCCTGAGCCGGTAGCATCATCTGTCAGTGTACGAGTGACCTTCATAAATGTACCACTCCCATATATCAACAATTTTTAAGAATACGCTATAGACAATAACAAAGCCATATTATCGTAACAAAAAGAAGTTGATCCACATGGTGTCAGAAGCTACGAATGATCAACGTTGAAACGCAATAACCATAATATTGAGACGTAGACAATGACAATCGAACTAAAACTGATCTGTTAATAAAACAATGGCAACCAAAATAGATCAATACAGGAATTCAGACTTAAATGATACAAAGGAATTCAACAGCGCTTTAACTTTAACTTCAAAGGCTTTCAATCATATTCGGTTCAGTCAGTTAAATCAATAGAATCAATTTGTGATATGATCAGTGGGATAATATCATTATTCAGTCATTTATTTATGAAGCTTTGTAATATAAAATCAATAATCAGTGGAAATATTTGAGGAAAATCTAACTTGCTTGCCTTGTGACATTCCATTAACCACTTGTATATTATAAGTGACGACTGCCATACACCAAATATGAAAACTTGTTCAGTCCTTATATGGGAGGATGACAAATAAGCTTTATAGAGTTAATTGGGAACGTTCAAATAAACCCTCATTAATATTCACTACACAAAATTATACAAAAAACAAAGACTTGGCATTGGTTTAACAACTTTATTGAATACCATTCTACGACCAATGGTTTCGCTAACCTATGCTCAAAATATAACTTGACATGAATGTAATTTCTTAATCTATGAAATTAGAATACGATAAAGAATGATCAAAGTAATATAATCTACCGAATACATACATGCATATAATGATCAACAAATAGATCAAGATGTATCAAGTATCCGTGATGAACTAATAAATATCAATAAAGAGTGATATCGGTTATGTGGGACGAATCCATCACAATACGTAACACTTATCGTATAAATTGTCCGAGCGCATATAACGAATACAAAGTACTTATATTAGAAACTGAGGAACTGGAAGACCCTAATACCAGAGTAATTAAGGTTACAATAAAATAAAAATGGTCACACTATCTACAAAGGAGTGAAATTCAAATCAAAGAGCATTTGAACGATATCCTGTATGGAATATTCAATGTAATTTTAAAGAATTTAAATAACAATCTAAAAGATCGAATCTACCTGTTATTGTCCGAAGTTTTGATTTACACTTTTACAATGGCAATTAGGTACATTACCAGTAAGTGGAGAAAATATAGATATTCTCAAGGTCAGATGATTGAATAATGAAGATAAAAAAATTATAAGACTATAAGATAAGTATAATCTAATCTGCACAAAGATTCGAGTGGCGTAAAAGAGAACGATCCTTAAAACGAACTTGCACAACGTACTGTCGCATCGCGAGCACTATCTAAAGTTACAAAGCTCACGGTTTTGAAAAACTGCAAACTATTTTTATAACACAAACAAGTGATTAATAAAATGTCCAGGGATAATTCCACGGACTGAAACACTGGCACTGTATCAAGATTTCCAGCGTGCTTGATGAGCGATTTTACAAAATTTAAAAATTCTCGACAGCAAACGCTTTGTGTGCGCGCGCGCATCATACGCGCTCCCGCCAAAACAACTGGCGGACTGCGAGCGGTGCCAGTGCGTCTCGACCGCCGTCGTGTGCCAGGCCATGCCAGGTCATTGCCAATCGCAATACCAGTTTGAGAAAAAAAGTAAATAAATATTATTTAACAACACTCCTCATGGTTTTTTCCTGCTTATTCTGTGGCCTTCACACGCATAGAGCTCGAATTGAAAGTAAAGTATGATCAGAGTAAATTTTTTTCCTGCTTTTGTTGTACTATCGGGAAGACAACTGATACTGATATTTACTAGTTTAACATATCTTCCCATCGTATTTTTTAGAATACGACAGAGCATCAGAATCGGAAACTAAAAATTAATGACAACTTAAATTTTGATACTATTACCATGTGCTTACATTTCATTTGGCATTGGTTAGTTACGTTGTGGCTTTAACTGATCCCAAACATTTTTTCTCGTAGACAATTATCTAAATTTAACTGGTTGCAGTGGACCCTAGATTACAACAATATTTCCAAAATTCGCCAAAAGCTCGAAAGCTCAACAATCTATGATATCTTTTGATCCCTATATTAGCCCGAAATGATTTTTTTTTATTTTACTTAAATCTTATAAACGCTACTGCTAATACAATTGGTTTTATATAAGAAAATTACTACTGGATTACTTAAGGCGAATGCATTCGTCCTTATTCGTCCGTATAACGATAAGTGTTGGTTCGAAATCAGTCTGATACATACCTTAGAAAAGTTAATAGTTTTCCAATAAAATTTTGTTTAGGTAAATGAAATAATAAACAATACGGACAATAAGTGAACTTCTGTCTTATGGAAGCAAAACAAATTCAATTTTTTAAAACAAAATTGCTTGAAGTTCTTTTTTGCGGAAAATAACGGATTAAGAAGTCAATTAAGTACTTATTTAGTAAGTCGTTAAAACACACGTGTTCCGGGAACTTGCGAAATTAATTTTAAGGTTAAGCATATCTATTTCCTTTGATAAATTTTAATTTAACAATCGCTACAAAGTCATGCCGCTTGGTGGTCATATTTTTTGTTACATTTACATTTATTGTTACATAAATAATTTTAAGAACGCGACTGTAACCTAAACTTTTAGGGAATTGCCAAGTTATATTCTTTTAAATTGCTGTGTATACCACGCTGGACAATATTTTTTATACCATAGATTACCACGTATAAAAAACTAACGAGGTTTTTCTCGCTTACTTCCAAAGTATACATTTTTCAAACATCAAACTATAAAGGCCGAAGTGATAGAAACGTAAACTCTTTAAAAAAATCACATCGACTTCATATAATATGATTAACAATAATGTTGATCGTAATACTCCTATAAATAACAAGCAATTTATTATATGTGAGCGTAGAGCATACATTGTAATTTCTTTCCAAACAACGCATTAAAACTGTAAACTGAGGTCACTACACTGCGAAAGGACTGTAATGGTCATTGAATCGACCACTTGTGGTGCTATGTATAGACACAAACAAAGAAATTTCGTTTTGGAAACATTCCAAACAACTAAGATTATACTCAGATACGTTATTTTGATTTTCCGTGCGAAAGTTTTTATGAAAAAAAAAATACAGTGTTATAAGTATTCTTTGTTTTGAAATTCGACAGACACAGCTAGTCGTAGTTTGCTTTGTCCCGTAAAACCAAACATTAAACAGATTAAGAACTGAAGAAAAGCAATAAAATAAAAATTTAATATTATTCCAGTAATATATTGTTATTAAACTTTCATGGTCACTCACATTATAGTAATTAATGTTATTGATGGGATTGCAATAGTGCCGAAATATCGGAAACTCGCTAAAAACAAGGTACACCATAGCAATCCCGTAAATAACATAAATATTATTTCTGTAATGTGCAAATTATAACATTTATTTCACATTTTAAACTGAATATGAGAGAGAGAAAGACATTTTATTGATCACATTACTACATTACAAATGAACATACAAAAAAATAACATTTTAAAAATATTTACAGGTAAAAAAAGGTATAAACTACATTTTGTGGTTTGTCAATCAGGTCCCTGCCTCAGCTTAGCTCATATGAGGAAAATATACTTAAACATTATTGAAATTAATTATGTGCTTCTTAAAATAGACCCATATCTATGTAATGAATAGGAAGAGGTATATTTGGATGAGTACTTCACATAACTTATATTAACAAAAATAGCGACGAATGACAATAATTGTCATTTTATGAATTAAAACAATCAATTATAGTTGTTGAAGCAGAGTTACATTTACAAATCACCGTTTAATTTGCTACCCTTGCTCAACGAATTAGAAATGATATGGAAGCATTACTCTTTACAAAATCCGCTTAAACATGGTTCCAAATTATTACAATTTGACTTCAATACTAACGCGACATGCATACAGACAAAACATAATTATTTGACAAATCAAATATCTCAAATGGATTCGGCTATTCATTCTATGGTTAAGATAATGTTAAACGGAAATCCCAACCAATCGCATGATCGGCTAGTTGATTGCATTTTTTTCTCCCGCCCACTTGATCGAAGTTTGCGTGGAACCACCTTTTAGCGCAGTTCGTATTCCATATTATAATTTCTAATTTGTTGCCCTTGCTACCAAATAGTTCGATTTCGCATCCTCTATTAGTTTTTCAATCAACGCAGTGGCCATTATCTTTAAATAGCTATAACATCTTACGCCAAAATTATGTGGAACACTCATAACTGTTGGCTGGCACGTTTCTAGACGTGTGTGTTATGGTTCGCGTTAATTATAACTGTGACATTATGCAACGTTACAATGATAGATGAAAGTTACCCAATTAAAAAAGGCCATATAATTGTGCCAATTACATTATTATATTTTACTAGCTGTCCCAGAGAACTTCGTACCGCCATAAAAAAATAGGAGTTGGTGGCAGAAGGG